ATGGACTGCAGGTTGGGGGGGGGGGCGGGGAAGCCCTCTTTCACAAAGAACAAAAGCCAGCTCTCAACTCTATTTCTCTATTTGGGCATTAAGACATTTCTTAAAATCTTCTGAAGATACCCAGGAATAAAGAGAAAAGTTAAACTGATATATTTTTTTTAAAAATATATCAAAACAAGCAATTGTAAATCACTGAAAAAAATGAAAAACAAACAATGGACAATGTATGTACCACCAAGAGTCAATGAGACTCAAATTTCCCATCATTTTGGAGAACCAGAACTGCCCTCAAGTCCTTACCTTACTAACATTGAGTGAAGCTAGGGGAGGAGGGGTTTCTGTTCGGTCATTAATTATTTCCACTTCTGAAACATACTGTAAGTTTATGAGCAAGATGTCTGCGTGGTTGGGCTTTCCACTGGAAGAGGGACATTCTGGTGAAAAAATAAAGTTAAGGAAAATAGGGGCAAGCAGAGAACTGACACATCCCAAAGGGGCATGGAAAACACAATTCACCCAAGGCTTGTGTAAAAGGTGTGCCACAAGCAAGAGAGGGAGCCTCACAAGAATCACACCTCTCCTCAGGAAATCTCTGCCTGTCACTTTCCTGCCGCACAACCCCATAACCAAAAGATCTCAAGCTTTTCAAAGCCAGACACAATCCAAAATTGGAAGCCTCAACAGTGTTTCTGTCACCTTCTCTTTACCGGTTTTATGAAGAGGCTTAATACAGTTTTAATGCCGTTATGTATACTGTTTGTCTTGAACCTAATGAACCACACTGAAGAGCAAGTACTTTCTGTTCTTGGTATAATACTCCCTATATCCAAACAGTGCTCTTTTCTCTTTTTCAGATTTGAGATTTCCCATTTTGCACAACACTACAAACTAGTGTTGCACTAGTTTGTGTTGCACAAAACTACAACACTGGAAAGGAAGCTCACTCAAGGTGACCCAGCTAGCTAACCCATTCATTCATTAATTCATTCATTCACTCACTCACTCATTCACTCATTCTCCAACCATTTCTCAAAAGCATACTGTATGTCAAATAAAGGTAGAGTAATTCTTCATTCCGAAACCCTTCCAACTAAACCACTAATGTAAAAGGTCTTACTTGGTCCAGGTATGAAGTCTTGTGTTCAAAAAACAAAAACAAAAATTTAAAAAAACCTGCAACTCCTCTTGCTGTAATTAGTTTCAAAGGACATCTTCCTAAACTACAAATCCACAACCAGTAGTTAAATGAATTAAAATACTTGCCAGTCAAAGGCAGCAGCAGACTCAGTAAGAAACTTCCTTTTGAAAGGTGCCATAAGAGATTACTTAAAAGAAAAAAATTCCAAATAAACCCACCTGTGGCTCAAATAAAAGGGGAAGGGGTGGCACATTTATTACAACCAGGTAGTATTCCATTTCCACGACTGAGTTTCCTGGAGTAATTCAGAAATCACTTCCACCCCAAAGAAAGAGACCACCTTTTCCATTCTGTTAAACACTGACACATTCAAAAGGGAAGGCTATTGCTATGGAGAAGTCAGGACTCCATGTGCTGAGCTGACAAGAGAAGACAGTTTACTCTTTCACCTGTAACCCACACGTCCATACATAAGCCCCTGAAAAACGTGGTCCTCTCTCTAGACCAGGTTTCCAATACAAACATCCCCAAAACAGCAACTTACAAATCACTGAGAAGCCGAAAATTCAGCACTCCCTGCCCCCAGCGGCACCACGCATACACAAGCACCAGCAAAACAAGCCCCTATCCCCAGTTCTGCTACAAACTCTGTCCTGCAGTTACTCTCCCCCCAAACAGGCGAGGCCCATTTGGTCACCACCCCACCGCCCTTTCTTGGACCAAATCCCATCAGTGGACAACCCCTCCTGAACTCCATACCCTTGTACCACTCACTAGCAGTTCCTTACTCTACACACCCCTTCCCCACATGATTTTACCCGTCCCCCTCCCATCCGGGCTCCAATCACCAGCCCCCTCCCACGACCACCCCTCTCCGGATTACTGTGTCCCCTCTCCTAGCGTTCCCCCCGAAAAGCAATCAGCGTGTCAAGCCCCCCTCCACCCACCCACCCTCGATCGGGGCCCAGCTCCCACAAGGGGTGGGAGACAAGGGTCCCCAAGGCGGACCGAGGGACCCACGAGAGGGGGAGGGGAGCTCAGGGCCGTGCGCATGCGCTCCGGGCGCCGCGGTAGCCGGTCGCCCCTAGGCCCGGAGAGGGCCCCAGCCACCGCCGTCGTCCCCCGCCCCCCCACGGCCGCACATACACGCCGGCCCGGCCTCGGGCTCCGCGCAGGGAAGGATACTTAAAGCCAGCATCTTGGACTGGTAGTCGAAGGCTACCACCTCGCCCTGCAGCCGCTGCTCCTGGCACGTCCGGCACGACACCTGGCTCCCAACGCTGAAGTACTCGCCCGGAGGAGCCGCCATCTTGGGAGAGCAGCCGCGGCCGGCGGCGGCGGCGGCAGCAGCGGGCGAAAGCCGGGCCCCCAGTGAGCGCCGCGCCGCGACGCACGGGGCGTGCTGACGTCACACGCTAGGGCGTGGCCTGGACTGGGTGGGGCGGGAGCCTAGGTGGATGAGGAGAAAAGAGGAAATAAAGAGGAATGTGAATAATTACGTTTGTGCGGCTGCGCCCGGTTTGTAACAGGCTTGCAAGGTCCATTTTAGAAGTTAAAGATAAATGACCTACGTGGAATGAAAAGGGGAGGGAGGAGGGAACTGCAGTCTCCCTTAGGTGCACACCTTGACACAAGAGTCTGATGAATGAACTCTATATTTTACAAATGAGGAATCCGAGGCCCAGAAGACTTAACTAAACTTGCTCAAAACGGTTACACCTAACTACAAAGTGGTAGTGGAAAGAACATTGGCTGTAGAGTTAGCTAAAACGGAATCGGAATTCCACTGAGTTATGTGACCTTGAGCAAATTACTAAGCCTGATTCTTTTCTTTATTCCTTCTGTATTACCACTGTTGAGCATCCAGCAACCCTTCGATGTAGGAATCAATATCCTCATTTTACAGAGGAAGTAACTAAGTCTTAGACTAAACTTTGTCCAGGGTCGCACAACTAGCAAGGATCCGGTCTACCTGTTTCCAAAGACGGTGCTATTTACTGCTATGCTATATTAGATAATACCCCACAGAGTAGTTAGGAGGAGCGGGAGATAATGAGATAATGTGTACAAATGCATGGCACGTAGTAGATCCTCAATAAATGGTAGTTCCTCCGTGATCACCCATCACTGTTGGAACTCAAGATGCTTCCCCATCTCCCATCTTGCCCTCTCCTCTAGAAAACCGGGCAAAGAGCCAGAATGAGGAGCAATGGTATTGACAAAGGGAGCCTTGGGGCAGGAGTTTTGGGCCCCCCATTAATGACTGTGTAATATACGAAACAGTTTTCTTAACATGTAAGTACGATGCAGATGCATTTTCAAGCCCTACCATCACCAGTTGCCATCCCTAACCCACCTACCCTTCCACTAAAGAAATTCTAGAGCCTCATGTATGAGTAACAACAGGCAAAGAGAGGGAGGCAAAGGGCCAGTCCTGGCACTACTTAACCTGAACATGTTTCAAAAGTGTTTCCTTGCCTTGCAAGAGACATCAACTTCCTAAAGTTGGGCCCATATTAGTACAATCATTGTAATAGAAATAAACATACTGCTCCCTCATACTTGGGTTTTTCCAGAGAACTTTCACATCTACCCCATAACAAGTCATACATAACTGCCACTCCACCTTTTATATAACATTGTGATTATAGGTTCTCATGAATGACTGCCAGGCACTGTAAGGAAAAGCTTCCTGGAAGAAGTGGAAAAATCTGAGACCTGAAAGACAAGCAGGGAAAGAGTGGCCACGTTCTAAGCAGAGGTAACTGCAGACGTCAGGACCCCTAAAAGGAGAGAGCTTGGTGATTTCAGGGAGCGTAAAGTAGCTCAGAAATATCATGAAACAGAATGTGGGACTGGGCTGGTAAAGGTTGTCTTGGCTAGAGGCCAAGCAAACTTTCAAAGACTAAGAAAATTTAGGCTTTTTCCTTGGGGCAATTGAAAAACATTTAGCAAGGGAGCAAAATGAGATTTGTATCCAGCTTCCTTTCCCCACACCCTTTTAATTAGTGAAATTAATCTCTTTCCAAGAAGAACCCAAATTTACATTCTCATTTTTACCCCTCAAAAACTCTCCAAGAACAAAGTTGCTTGAGGTAGGAAGGAACCACTTCACCAGTCTCCTCCCACCTCACCTCTGCCTCTAGGCAAGACCTCACCTAGAATTGCTGAGATTTCTATTTTCTGTGTGTTCCTCCAAGGGATTATTCCAATTTTTGTCGTGGGTGTGTGCCTCTCCTCTTCCTTTACCAACCCAGCTACTATCTCGTGGTTTATCTGCCCAGCGGGGTTTTGGAAGGCAAGATGACAAGATGACGAAAGGAGAGGGGCAAGGCAAGCACAGAACTGGGAGGAAGGGTGATTTAGACTGTGCTATGCGTAACAACTGTCAAGCCGTTAGGGATGACCCCTCAAAATCAAGAGGCTGATCTGTCAGCCTCCAAATCAACAGCAGAGGAATTCAAGCAGGAGAGTCTTGGGCTGGGGGAGGAAGGCGTGTACCGATTAGCCAGCTGTGTGTGCAAACGTAGGGGCCCGCTTCAGCACCAACCAGGGATGCCTGGCTCCCCGGAGCAGGGGTTGTCCCTAGCCTTCTCTCCAAGAGATCTCGAAATATTTTTGGAGGGTAGCTGTACTGGAGGAGAAAGGTCTGGTCTGGAAGGAATCCTGGCCCGGGATATTACATATCCATCTTCACAGAAGTAAAGGAGGGACCCTGGACGCACCGCCGACCCTCAGGTTAGTCTGTCCGATGACCCGGAACAGCAGCTGGAGCCGCCTCTACGCCCTCTGCCCACGTGCCGGCAATAGCAGCCACGTGGGGCTCTGCGGAAACGCCTTCGAAGAGATTTGTCCCCTGCGCTGCCCAGTAGAGAGGGAGGCCCGGGAAGAGCGCAGGAGGAGGAAACGGTACCGGCAGGAGGCCTGGCTCGCGCGAGCCTGAGGCTCCAGGGGGCGGGGCAGGAGGCGGGGCTTTCCCGGCCACCAACAGGGGGCGGGGCCTCGGATCCGAAGGGTGGGCTTTGGAGGGCCGTGAGGAGCTGCTTCCTGGTCGCCTGGACTCCTCGGCTTCCGCCTTAGCTCAAACCCTGGCCGGGCCGGCCCCGGGGTCAACATGGAGTCCACGCTGGGCGCGGGCATCGCCATGGCCGAGGCGCTGCAGAACCAGCTGCCCTGGTTGGAGAACGTGTGGCTCTGGGTCACCTTTCTGGGCGACCCCAAGAGCCTCTTTCTGTTCTACTTCCCCGTGGCTTACTACGCCTCTCGCCGGGTGGGCATCGCAGTGCTCTGGATCAGCCTCATCACCGAGTGGCTCAACCTCGTCTTCAAGTGGTGAGACAGCGAAGCCCTCCCGCGTCCTGGTCCCCCACCCCCAAAGGCCCTGAGCCCTGTGCAGTCCTTGATCTCTCTCGTCAGCTGCCTCAAAGGCCTGGCTTCCCACCCCCACCCCCCCCCCGACAGTGAACCCATGGCCTTAAGACCTCCCACCCCTACCCCGTGGCCACTGACTTTTCCCCTATGAGCATCTTTGTGCATCTTGGACCTCAGAGTCCCCATCCTAATCATTAAACTGGTGTTTAACGGGCCTGATCAGAGAAATCACCTAAGGGGGCGTATTTAAAATGCAAATACCCCATTCCACCTCACACAGACAGATTTTGAAACTCCAGGGGAGGGGCTGGGAATCTGTATTTTAACAGGCATCTGTGGTGACTTAAGTAGCAGAAAGTCCTGCTTCTCAACTCACTCTTTGATTCATTTATTCATTCGTTTATTTGACATAGTTTTTAAGAAGCATGCTTTGTGCCAGGCTTCACACTAGTGGCTAAGGACAGAAAAGGCTTGCAGATTAAGGTGTGGTCCCCCAGACCATGGCCAGCAGCATAAGGAGCATTTGAAAACTTGCTAGAAATGCAGAATCTCAGGCCCCACGCCAGAGCTACTGAATCAGAATCTGCATTTTAGCAAGGACCCCAGGCGATTTGTGTGCACAGTAAATTTCAAAAAGCACTGGGCTAAAGCATTGCCTTCCGGGGAACACTTTCTCTTCTCCCTTTTCCCCTTCATTCACTAGTAGGCTCTGCACACAGACTTAGAAGCCAGGAACCCCAGGCAAGTGGGTGGGGCCCTTGGGGTGTATCTCTTTGTGCCACCTGTTCTCTCTTGGGTGCAGAAGGGAGCATACTTTCCGCCGGGCATGCAGCTGCACCTCCCCTCACCCCTCACCACTGTCTCTGTTGCCAGATTGCCAGCCTGGGGGAGGGAAGGGAGGTTCATAGGAGACACTTGAATGGATGGGCTGGGATGACTTGCTGAAAAACAAAATACCTTCCCTTCCACTCTTCTCAGCCAGGGCTTCATCCCTGCTGTAAACGGAAAGCAATTGTCTGATCATTTCCTTCCTACTGAATTGCTCTTTGCTTTGTGCTCTCCTTCCTCAGAGTCTGTATAAGCCTTCCTCTCTAGTCCTGTTTCCCTAAGACCACCCCCTTGGGTAGACACTCTTAATGCCCCCCACATGGCAGAGCCCCTATTCATTTCCTAAGTATGTGTTGAGCATCTGGTGCATGATCCAGGCTCACTTTTTGGCAGGGAGAGGCAAGTCCCTTCCACACCTCCCTCCCCAGCACTTGGCTTCCTGCCGGCATCTCTTCTGCTCTCCCACCTTTTCTCTTTCTGGCCACAGCAGCCTCTGCAGTGTGTTTCCCAGGGTCCAGTGAAGCACCTGGCTAAGCCAGTGGATTTTGAATTTTTTTGTCTTCCTTATTCTCTCTCAGCCTCTTTGTCCATTCCCCACTCCCATTTTCAAAGACCAGAGGCTTACCTAAGTAACTCAGGCTGGAATTTGGGAAATGGAGAGAGGAGAAGCAGGAGGGTCAGTGAGGGTCTGGGGAGGGAGGGCATGGGGCAGGTCCTGGGCTCTCTATAGATGGCAAGAGCAGAGCCGGCCCTGTAGCGGGAGGGCTAAGGATGGGACTTCTGAGCATCTCAGAGCACACACACGCACACACAATCTCTTGCCTCCTTATCACTTTAAAAAAAATAGCATGCTTTCTCCTGTTCCAAGGTAAAAAACCCTGGCAGGGCAATGGCACAGAATTGGACACCCTTTCTGACTCCAGCCTGTAAGCCCTCCAGAGTACTCCAGGTGTCCTTCTGCCTCAGCCCCCGTTCCCCTGGCTGTGTGTGCGTGTAATGGCATCTTGCATCTGTTCTCTTCCAGGTTTCTGTTTGGAGATAGGCCCTTTTGGTGGGTCCATGAGTCTGGGTACTACAGCCAGGCTCCAGCCCAGGTTCACCAGTTCCCCTCTTCTTGTGAAACTGGTCCAGGTGAGAAGCCTCAAACTTCCCTCTCCCAATGTGGTTAGGGTTCAGTGAGTGTTTGGTCGTACTTTTCAGCTGGGGCAACCTAATCAGAGGCCCAGCCTCTCAGTTACTGGGCCAGAGAACAAAGAAACCCAGGGAAGACCATGTTGAATTATAGGAGAAGAGCACCCGTGCCGCTTCAGGGCAGAGGGAGCTAAGGGTCAGTGCTGGAGGAAGGCTCTCCCCTCGGCCACGGGGAGGCAGCTGGGTTGAGCAATCACCAGGGGCACCTGGGTTCCACCAGCATCCTCTCACCACAAGCTTCTGAATCCCCTGGCAGGCAGCCCTTCCGGACACTGTATGATCACAGGAGCAGCCCTTTGGCCCATAATGACGGCCATCTCTTCCCAAGTGGCCACTCGGACCCACAGGTACACCTTGGCATTGCCCACCAACGGGGGCAGAGGTTATGGTACCCTGGACCCAAAAGACCCAGCAGCAGGGCAGCCTGGGAGCTGGAGTTCTGCAGACGCCGGGGCATCTGGTCAAACTGTGAGGTGCCTGGGTGCTGAGGGAAGCCCAGCTGTGCGTGGACACCTCCTGAACCATTTGCCTCTCTTCTTTTTAGCCGCTGGGTGAGGGTGATACCTAGCTTGGCTTATTGCACCTTCCTGCTGGCGGTCGGCTTGTCCCGGGTCTTCCTCTTAGCACATTTCCCTCACCAGGTGTTGGCTGGCCTAATAACTGGTGAGCAACTGGGGCAACAGGGTGGACCCAGAGGGTGCCGTTGGCAGTGGGAGGACCAGTGTATGATCTTCCCATTGTACAGCCAACCCCAAGGGCCCCCTTCTCCTGCCAAACTACCCTGCGGCTCGGGGTGGGGGTCGTATCCCCAAACTCCTTGAAGCTGCTGTCACCCCACTTCCCTAGGTGCTGTCCTGGGCTGGCTGATGACCCCCCGGGTGCCCACGGAGCGGGAGCTAAGCTTCTACGGGTTGACCTCACTGGCCCTCTTGCTGGGTGCCAGCCTCATCTATTGGACGCTCTTTACACTGGGCCTGGATCTTTCTTGGTAAGTCCTGCTTTGAAGCTTGGGCAAGTTGGGGTCTGTCCTGCCTCACCTGTACCTGGCCTGGTGGGTCTCTGGTTGGTTGTAGCTAAAACGGGACACATTAGCTGTTCACAAACATTGAGTCTCCTGGGGTCACGGCAGAACATGGCGGTAGGCCCCAAAGGGGTGGAGAGCCATCAGCCCTCTAGGACCCAGGGGAATCTCTCTCCTGGCAAAGACTCTCGCTCCCCACAGGTCCATCAACCTAGCCTCTAAGTGGTGTGAACGGCCTGAGTGGGTGCACTTGGACAGCCGGCCCTTTGCCTCTCTGAGCCGCGACTCAGGGGCCGCCCTGGGTCTGGGCATCGCCCTTCACTCCCCCTGCTATGCCCAGGTGCGGCGGGCATACCTGGGACATGGCCAGAAGCTAGCCTGCCTTGTGTTGGCCATGGGGCTGCTGGGCCCCCTGGACTGGCTGGGCTACCCCCCTCAGATCAGCCTTTTCTACATCTTCAATTTCCTCAAGTACACCCTCTGGCCATGCCTGGTCCTGGCCCTCGTGCCCTGGCTGGTGCACACATTCAGTGCCCAGGAAGCACCACCCATCCGCTCTTCCTGACTCTAGGTGCCTCCTACTGCCACTTTCCCTCTCACAAAGCCCACACACTCCGTGCCCTCCACACTCCGGGGAGGCAGCCCCATCCCCTTCCAGCCCCCAACAGGCCCTGCTCATGGTGAATTTTCTACTTCTCCCACCGCCTGGTCTCAGCCCCAAAGAAGGGCCTTCTCTCTCCCAGGAAGGCTGGTCCTCCTCCTGCCTTCCCTCCCACGTCCCCAAAGGGCAAAGGCAACAGTGAGATCAGTGGGTTCCTGTAACACTGTGAGGGGCTCAGAGCAGCCCCAATAAAGCCCTTCCACACCTCTGGACTCCTCTCTTGACTCCGTGCACATCTCCACTGGACTTGCCCGTGCGGCTGCAGGTGGAACCCTTGCCAGGCCACCTGTTCTGCACCCGCTTCAACCCTGTGCCCCCAGAGACTGAGAGTCAAAAGGAACAGGGAGACCTTCAGCCCGGGCCCTCTCCCCACCATCACCACGTAGGCCACACAGAGGTTCCAGGAGATGCTGTGGCTACGTTCAGTGAAACCTTGTTCTTAACCCACAGGACAGAGATCCCACTCCCTCCCACCCCAGCCTCTTGTTTCCTAAATTGGCTAGTCCAGGGGCTGGAGAAAAGTAGTGTTTTTTTGGCCAGGAGGGGGAATGAGACCCTCAACTCCATTTGAGAGCCCGGAGAACAGAGACATTGGCCCCAGAAGGCACTGCCAGAAACAAGTTTATTTACACAAGGACACACAGTGTAACAGGTTACACAATACTTAACTGAAATCCATGTCCAAGGAGACAAAGCAAGGAGTGGGTTTACACGAGAACCAGAGCGGCCGTGGGGAGAGGGAGGGTAAGAGGCCCGGAGCTGGGGCTCAGCATGGGGAGGCCTGGTACCCTGGGCCCAGCCCCATCCCCATCCCCCAGGAGGATCTAGAACACACTAACAACACACAAGACACAAGCGCACAATGAACCAATGGTGGTGGGACTCCTGCCCCTCCCCTGGCTCCCTCAATCCTGCTCAGGCCCCTGTTAGGATAATAAATATGTAAACAGATTGGTGGAGCCCTGGGGACGGGAGGAAAGAAAGTATATGCGGTGTTGGGGAGAAGGAGGGAGTAAGACTCAGCCCCCTAGGAGCTGCTTCTGGGAAAGAGAAAGGGCAGTGCCCAGCCCCATCCTGGTCTTAGTTCCCTTGGGCTGGTGGCCCACAAAGGAAGCCCAGGAGGAAGGCAAGCTACAGCTGAGGGCAGACTCCTGAGTTCTGGCCCTGCCCCTTCTAGAACTCCCACTCACCATCCCCAGGCTTCAAAGCCAAAGGCCCCAGGAGAGAGGTGGGCCACTGACCCTTCTGCTTGCAGCATGCTGGATGGCTGGGGAAATCTGGTCCTGAACAGCAGGGGGGCTCTCACCAGCCTGGAGCCCCCCTGCAGGGACCACCTTCTCCCCGCTCCCCAGACTGTGCCAGCAGAGGGGCAGGGAGGCCGACAGAGTAAGAGGGAGAGCAAGCCCGGTTCTGCGCCTCCTCTTGGCCCCTCAGAACCCAGGAGTGCAGCTCCAAACCTCCCCCCACGCTTTCACCCTCTCCAGCCCCTGAGAAGGGGAAATAGGCCCTGAGGAGGGTAAGGCAAGACAGCCCTGCCCACGGACCTCAGGCCCACATCCGACAGCACAAAGCTTTCCTTTGGTGCTGAGGCCAGGAGAAAGGAGGAGGAGAGAGGGGTCTGTGTGGAGATGGTGAGGACACGGGGGGAAAAGAGTGAGAATCGCAGGGCGGGAGCCCACCTCCCCTCCACTCCACATCTTAAGACTGTAGAGGGACCCTCCGGATCCTCCCCTGGGGCTGGAGAGGGGAGGAGGGTGAAATTAAGGCATTTCCCCCTAAGTCAGCTGAAGCCAAGGCACCAAACTTACTGTTCCCTCCTCACTCAGGGGGACCCCAGAACCAGAAGGTGCTATCTGGGCCCCAGGCCCACCTTGAGCTGGCCCAAGCTCCAAGGGGGACAAAGACAGAATGCAGGAAGTGGGTGTGCAATACAACGTGAGGGAAGGGCTGGAAAGGGTACCCCTGGCCCTACAGAGGGTGCAGACTTCTAGAGCTGAGACATGGGCCACGGGGGGCGGGGGAAAGGGGGGCCCTGAGGCAGCTAAGAGGAGCAGGAGGGGCGAGGCTGAGAGACCCACACGGCAGACGTTGTTGAATGTGTGACTTTTTGTTTTTTAATAGAAAAAATAAACAAAATCACAATGAAGAAGCCCAGAGGGGTGGGGGCCTGGGCGTCACAGGGCAGGTTCCTGCTCCATGGGCTCCTCTGCTGGCCTGTGGGCACAAGAACAGGGAAGGGCACTGAAGCACTGTGGGATGGGGGGGAGCAGTCTGGGCGAGGGCAGGGAGGTGGGGGGCACCTCACCTGGGGCTGTGCTCCCGGCCTGCAGCAGCCTGGGCCTGCTCGGCCCCCACCGACAGCAAGGCCATGGCACTCACAGTCTCAGCCTCCTCTGTCTCACCGGCCTGGGCCTCCCGCAGGGAACGGCCTAGACCAGCAGCGAACCTCTGCACACAGCTCCAGTGTTTGCCTGTGGATGAGGGATGGGCCGGGGGTCAGGGAGAGCCAGAAACCCCCAAACGTACGGCCACCCCCAGCCCTAGCCCTGGCGTCACACAAGCTCCGCCCCCTTGGCAAGCTGGGCCCTGAGTCCCTCTGCCTGTGCCCACGCACTCTGGATCTCGATGACTTTCTCTAGCGTGGCCACTGCGTTGACGTTGGGCTTTTGTTGCAAGACTGCCTCGTCCAAGGGCTGCAGCTGGCAGGGGAAAGAAGAGAAGGCTTAGAGTGGCTGCCCCTCTAACCATCCCGCCGTTCAGCCCCATGACAGGGGCAAGCATAGCCTTTCCGGGGAAACCTCTATTTAGAAAGCCTTCCCTTCCCTGGTCACCACCTGTCCTCAGGAATCAGGAAAACCTCCCCAAGGGCCCTCGGTGCTGCCTGACCCAGGAAAGGGACCCTCCCTCGCTGGCCCCTTCCCCCTGGCCTACTGGCCCACCTCCCCTAGTCCCGCCGTGCACCCCTCACCTCCACGCTGAGCAGAGCGGAGACACAGGCCTCAGAGGCATCACAGATGGCGGTCAAGTCATGGCCTCCCTCGAGGGCCAGCACCACCCGGCCCCCTGCCAGCGCCATCAGCTGCCTGGTCAAGTGGCCGAAACCTTCAGGGACGCGTGAAGGGGGGGAGAGGAGACGCTTAAAGAAAAACTCAATCCAGGAGCAAGTCAGGAAGGAGAGAAAGGAGACGAGATGGGACAAACAGCACCGAAGAAGACGGTGGATTTAAACCCAAATCGATATCCATAATAAAACTCAGTGTCAGTGCACTAAATGCTCCATAAAACACAAAACGTAAGAGGCTAAAAAGATCCAATTACGCGTCTCCTAAGGAGCACCGTGAAAAACCACCACTGAAACATGAGGGATCAGCGAGCTCCATCCCTACAACTCCTGGAGGAGATGCTCCCCCCCCACCTGCTTGCCCCTCAAGGCCAGGGTTGGCAGAGGGAGAGTGGGAGGATGCTGCCAGGATGATTCCAAGTCTTAGACCTGCCTTCAACCCTGCTCCCAACCTCCCACTCGACCCCATCTTCACTGCTCCATAGCCTCCCTCGATCCCCCCACAGGCTCACATCTGGCGGTGACAGAGTAGCCACCCAGCGGAGACAGGTGTCCCTCGACAGCATCAAACCCGGCGGAGACCAGGACCACATCAGGTGAGAACTCGTGGGCAATGGGCATCACCACTGTCCTGCAAAGGGAGGGCCCAAGCTGACCCTGGCAGGTGGCTCAGCCAGGCCTCCCCAGGCTCTGCCCCCCACAGAGCCGACCCCCTCCACCCATGCGGAACTGAGTGCCTTCTGCCCCTCCCATGGCAGGGCCCGGGGGTTCCCACCCCTCCCTCGGCTCTTCTCAGTCCCCACCTGAAGGCCGTTAGGTACTCCACGTCTCCGATGGGGGGATCCACACCTCCCGTCCATGCCACGTTCACATTGTACCCCACGCCCGGCCCTCCGCCAACCTGGCAGCATGGTGGGGGAGGGGTTACTCTCACTGCCTGGGGATCCCAGACGTTGCCCCGCCCTCAGCCCTGCCTCCAGCCCTCACTCCACTGACCTCTGTTCTGCATGGAGGGGCAGTTGGCTGGCGTGGTCCTCCCACTAGGAGCCCAGACTCCCCAGGTACCAGCACCACCACGGGCCTCCATGGCTCCCTGCCAGGTCCCATTCTGCTATCTCCCCGAGGGCCCCACGTTTGAGCCCAGGAGCTGTACCTCTTCAGGAGCCCCAGAGCCCGGAAAGAAGTTCCCATTGTCATAGCGATGCAGGGAGATGTAGAGCACGGAGGGGTCGTTGTAGAATGCTTGCTGGGTGCCATTGCCGTGGTGAATGTCCTAGTGGGAAGGGGTGGGAGCATCAGGGAAGAGGCCCAGGGTCTGACCCAAAGGTCAAAATTCTGCTTGGCCCACCCCGACCCTGTGGTGGGCTCTGGGGGTGCAGCCCAGCACTAGCTACAGGGCATCTGTGTTCTGTCCGCCACGGAATCACCCCACGCTTTTCTAACCAGGGTCTGCGGGCCGGGACATGGCACTGCACAGAGGAGACACAAAGCCAGGGGACGAATGTGGTGGATCTTCCTGCGAGCCCACTCAGCTCAGCAGTGTGGAGGGAAACAGTACGGCTAGTCAGGAATTGAAAGCAAACAGATGCATTCTGAAGGAGAACCCAACGTCATGAACTTTGAAGCCCAAGCTGGGCTTCGAAGAGATTAGATCCCTCCTTGCTGAGGCTTGCTCCTCACAGGGAGCGGTAGGGGCCTTTCCCTCTGCTGTGAGAGGCAGAGGCGGAGAAGCACAGCGTGGCAGCAGGAGCAGAAATGCCGGGGCCCACAGGCCTGATCTGAAACCCAGTACCCAACATCCCACGCTAAGTAACCTTGGTTGGGTAAGTCCCCCAACAGCCCAGTGTCTCTGTTTATCGAAATGGACATCCTACTACTTAGGAAACAAGGCGGCCACGAAGCAGCACCACGTGTCTGGCACACAGTCAGCCCCCAGTCAACAGGGACTCCAGCAACGGCAGGAGCTGTCTCTACCACTCAAGGCAGAAAATCTCCTCGGCTGCTCAAGGCTGCGGGCTGGGGGCCAAGGTGGACCAGGGGCTAAAAGCATTTCGAGTCTCCACTAGTGAGGAGGGGGGCCCCATGGGACTGTGAAGGCTGGGCTAAGAGCCCCAGCACGGGCACCTGAGGACGAGGGCGTGGGGCTGGGGT